TCATAACTCTTTTAAATGAAAACATTCTAACTCTCACGGCAGAGTTCAAATGGTTTGAAGTGATTTTTCTGCTTAGCGTTCTGTAGCGAGTTAGTTTATTACGAGTTGAGGTCTGCAACCCTCCTTGCAAATAACTTTGATTCTATATCAGATCTGAATAAAAGATATAACAGAGTTTTATTGTTATTATTTCACTCCTTAACTGAAATATTTTCTTGTAACATAAAATAAAGACTGATTTGTTACACAGTCTTTGTTAGCCTGACAAAGTATATGACATTTTGTTATAAATCTCTCTCTCTGAATAAACTCAACTGTTCTTCTTGCTTAGTATACTCTGACAGCAATACACTCTACAAGTCCCACAAATCAGAACACGGTTGAACAGGAAAAAGATTATATTCCAAATAGCAAGGTTAAATAGAGCCGAAGAGATTACGAAATAGGAACAACGTTAGTCTCTTTATAGTTTTCACATGAGAAGCTTCTAAAAATGTACTTCAAGTATCAACCATGCGCTGATTGGATAAGAATTAACCAATCAGCGCGCAGCTGACACAAATCATGCTTTCATCCATCTATGTCTTGTGAACACACACAATTCCTTAGTATAATATCGTTAATAATGCTAAAGCATATATAATTAACTTTTATGGAAAAAAAATAATTTTTTAAAAATATTTTAATTAATTAATACCTTATTATATTTGCATTTATTCACACTGAATGTGAAAAAAAAGACATACACCAATCGTCATCTAATGGAAAATCATTCATGGGAAATATTGATCGAATCACAATTGGATTTAAACAATTCACGTGTACGACGTTCAATGGATTATCATCAAATGAATGAAAATGATTATTTATATTCTGATAAATATTTTATAATCGGTGAAAATGGAGCATGTCCAGTTAATTCACATAGATGTAATGGGCCACTTAAACCGGCGACACAATATAGGTTAGTTTATTTGTGTCAATGTACATAAAAACATTACGTAACAGTAATTTTTCGACTTAAGCTTTGCTTATTTCATGTAACTTTTTAAATTGAATTCTTATTATTTTACTCTAATTATCATTAAAACATTTGAAATCATCAATCAATCAGGGGTTAAACAACCATTAGAAACCTAGAAGCACTGAAAGACGGCCGTTTCATCCTGATATAGGACTACTCATTAACAGTGCGCGACTCCTACCACTCGCAAGATTCAAACTCAAGAACTTCGTTCTAGCGTGCGAACGACTAACCGCAGGACCACTCGGCTGGTCGGCATCAAACGGTGTTTATTGTCTGACTCTGATCAATCTAGAGATCTTGCGCTACCTCACCCATATTTCTTTGGTAGTTATTGCCTACACCCAGGAGGATTGAACTCCACTGGCCATGTCTTCTCACTAGAACTTCAAGAATTTTCTCACAAAGCAAGTCACTAATGAGCATATTGTACGATCGTTTTAGCCTAAAGTTTTGGAAATAGGCGTTTTTACATATTTAAACCGTCAATCAATCATTGCTAGGTGTTGGAGACGTTAGATCCCCGGAATTCGCTTGATAAATGCCTTATTTTGGATTTCACGTTTGCCAGCATGGACTGATCAGGTGACCTTGAGATCTCATTTCCAAATAGGAAAATCCTTGACTGTGATTGACTACTATATGTTCTAGTATGCTATTTTTTGATTGTCCTAAGGACGAGATTTGTGTGCTTGATTGCAGCATTGTGCTTACTGGGTGTTTGCAGAGTATACTTTCTACACTATATCAAGATTTCTCCTTAGACTTTTCGAATCAAGGTAGCCTACCTGGATGCTGGTTCCTTGTCTCGTTCACGTTTATCGACTACAGTGAACCCGTAATAGTTTCAAGCATACCTAGTAACAAACCTAACACTAGGCCACTATTAAAAATCTGGAAACACTAGACTGTCGTTTCACCCTGGTAAAGGACTCATTAGCAGTCTACATCCACGACTCCTGATACTCACAGGATTCAAACCTATGGCCTTCGATCTTGTACGCGAAAACCTAACCTCTGCACCACTGAGCTAGCCGGCAAACAATGGGTTTGAATTCTGCGTGTAGCAGGAGTCGTGAATACGCAATCCCACTAATGAGTCCAATGCTTCCAGGTTTCTAATGGTGATCTAACAATGTTTGATTGATTGATGGTTTCAAATCAGTAAAAACACAAATATCCATAACTATAATTGAAAAAATTATTTAAATTAAGAACCAGATGTGTTGATGAAAATATCATGATTATTCATTTGACTACTTATTTCTGTTATTGATAGTATTCTAAGTTTTTTATTCAATCTTTTTGGATAGTTAATTGATAAATATTGCTTAGAGCTCGTTAATAATGTACCGAGAGAGAAATCCACAGTTTTATATGCTTCATGGGTGGTTATCAACCATACATAGTTTTGTACACAATTCATTTAAAACATAAATAATGATTACTTCGTTTCTTTTTTGCTATTAATTATCAGTATACAATTACGTACATACACAGAATATGGATATACCACATCGAAAATAATTCATAGACATACATTACCTAGTAGTAAGTTTGAATAAAATAATCACATTGTATAAATTACATTGTAACATAGATTGATTGATTGATTGATTGAAAGATTATGATTATAGGATGATGGAGATTGTAGAGTTTCATTGGGATCGTGAATCAGTCAATGTTAGAGTACCATCTAAAACCTTGAAGCACTGGACACTGTTGGATACCGGCCCAGTGATCTAAAGTCTATAAGCGTATCTAACGGTGTTAATGTCTAACTTGATCAATTCACGGAGTTGCGCAACCTCATACCCTGTATACATCCGAACAGGTTTGAACTTCACTGGTCACGTCTTCCCACTAGAACTCGGAGAAGATTCCTCACCAAGCTAGTCACTAGTGGACACATGTAATTGCATTGCGGGTTTGTTGTGAAGATTGTTAAGTTTTATCTGTAACCATGAATTGATCAATTGATAGAAATATATTGGCGAAGTTCAATCTCCAACCTACAATCTGTGCTGAACCTTCTTTTTGTTCTGGTTATCAGTAAGGGCTCAGCTTGGTGAACTCCAAAGAAACTCAGTTTTCATCACGAGCCGTGATAACTGTTCTTCCAACTGTCAAGGAAGATTTAAAATGGTTTGAATTCTTTTTTCTGATCAGCGTTTTCTTAGCAAGTTGGTTTTCTACAAGATGAGGTAGCTAACCTCATTTCCAACCCTTCTCCTTTCTCCGGCCTCCAGACTGGCCAGTAAGCCTAGAAACGTTCCAGGCGGAGTTAACACTTACACAGTAGTATTGTATTATAGCCGTAATTTATATTTATGAAAATCAAGTGGATTTTAGAATTTAAGTGCTTACTATTTCAACCAACTAAAATAACACATTTCTCTTATATACTTACATTTTGATAAAGACATATTAAATAAGCATCGAATATTTGATCGATTTTTCTCATCCTAAGCGTGAACAAAAGTCTAAGCACATGAAGAATTAATCTTTTCACATGTCTATCTATATTTTACGTTGAAATATTGATATGTTTGATCAGTTGAACACTGATCAGTTATATATTAGCACTCATTTTATTTGAATATTGTTAGGATATTCATTCAATATCCTAAGAGAATTATTGGTCGATTCTTATTGGTTAATTTTATCATCGTCCTAGATACCAATGTCACCTACTCCAATGTTGTTTCTTATTGGTTGTCCTGACTATCGACGTCACCTCAAATGTTGTTTCCTATTGGTCGTGTTAACTGTCAATGTCACAGACTCCGATGTTGTTTCCTATTCGAACTAAATGTATAAATACGCATTATCTGTAACGTTTTATGACCAGGACCAGGATCCTGATTCTCTTCTGAACTCTGACCTCGTACTTTCTGGATGCTTGTAGAATACAGGTTCTACTTCAAGTCAAGTTTTCTTCTTTCACTCAATGGGGGTTGGGGCACTCAGATTAGAGTAGCATGTCATGTCACCGGATCCTTGATCCTCACTCTCGTTTTCCGACTCGAACGTAAACTCGTAATAATAATTCAAGCATATCAAGCATGACATGTTTACCTGCATACATAACAGATATCAATCCTTAATCAATACTGTGATAACTCCATTTAGACCATTCTGAAACTTTCATCAATCAATCAATAGTGTAGTTTATTTATTATAATTAAAAAACCCATTTCATACTTTCATCTACATTGATATATTTCCTTAGTTAATTTGCCCTTTATTAAATTTTTTTCTCTTTTTCTTTCAACTACTATAATATATGAATATTTATTTGTACTTTTGAATTAGCTACCACAATTTTGATTACATGTTGCCTATTATGGTCATTATTTCTATTGGTTATATCAACATTTGGTTTATTCTATTATCGTCTTATTGAAAACAAAAGTATACATTTTCATCAAAGTGATATTTTTTTTAATGATCTTATTCAATATCCTAATCATAACATTCATACAAAAGAAAAATTCATTACTACTACTACTACTACTCTACCAATTCGTAGTAATGAAGATATTTATGCACAAATAACAATGGATGGGTAAGTAGTGTATGAGATTCACCTTTTTGTTTTCTTATTCTTCTAAATAAATTGTATGATATTATTGTATATGTACAAGTTATAATATGTGACAGACTATTATTATTATTACTTGAAAGTAATAATGAGAAGTGGAGTGCCATTAGATAATTATTCCATTTTAGCTTACAATTCTGTTGAGGTTCGTCACTAGAGGTATGGTTGAAACTATTACAGGTTCGCCAATCGAGCATAGGCCGCCCACCAGTTTTCTCCAACCAACTCTGTCCTGGGCTTTCCTCTTCAGTTCTATCCAACTTTTGTTCATTCTTCTCATGTCTTTCTCTATTTCTCGGCATAATGTGTTTCTTGACCTTCCTCTTTTCCTTTTACTGTGAGGGTTACAAGTGAGAGCTTGTCTAGTGACGCAGTCAGGTGCTTTCCGCAGTGTGTGTCCCATCCACTTCCACCACTTCTTCTTGATTTCTTCCTCCACTAGAATCTGATTTGTTCTCTCCTACAGTAGGTTGTTGTATTGTGCTCTGTATCTTCTTTGATCCTCCTAGTATTACTAGGGCTGTGTTATTCATCAATGAGAACTTGTACATTATATATTCTCCTGTCATAAGGTGGATATTTCTTTATTCTATCAGAATAAAATTTATGGGGAGATAGTTTAATTAACCCTAGAACTGAATAGTGGTTTTTTTCTTGCAATATAACTTCTCAATAGTACTTGCCCACGATACAACAAAGGTCAAATTCACGACTTTTAGTGATGAGTGTGTATACTCCGCTTGGAGCAACTCGGCGGCTTCAGCCAACCTCAAGCCCCGGATAAAGGGGAAGGGTTGGACATGGCATAAGTGACCACATTCCTCTAAAAAAAAAAAGCGCCAACCAGAAAAAATAAATCAAACCATTTGAACTCTACCCTGAGAGTTAGAAAGATTTCATTTAGTATAATTATGACATCTTATGATGAAATCCGAATTTCTTCGGATGTCACTAGGCCGATGACCCTTTGAACAACCAGATTAACCAATAATTTAGATACGTAGAATGTTCGTACAACATGAGAGATGTGGAGAGAGTGATCCAAATTGATGTCGTGTATACGTAACCTTTAATCCAACTGGAATTAGGCGATGATGTAAACTATGATTATATAAGATTTTTATTGATTAATGATTATCAGTGTTTAATATTCACAAAAAACTGTTAATCAATACATCATCCTGTTATTGATAAGCATTGTTGATTGTACATTACTTTTTTTTACTATTTTAGAACACATCTTCCAAATTTATGGACATCTATAGACTGGTAAGTGAAGTTTTCACTGTTCTATATTCATTGACTGTGAAATATCCTTTTTTGATTGACAAATATAATTTAGAAAGCTGGAAGCGTCCTGGTATGGGACTCATCGGTGGCAGTGTGCATCCACGACTTCTGAATCTCTCAGGACTTGAAACCTATGACCTTCGGTCTTGTGCGCGGACGCCTAACCATTGGACCGGCATCCGACGGTATTAATGCCTAACTCTGATCAATCTAGGGATTTTGCGCGACCACAACCATTTGTCTTTAGTAGTTACTGCCTACAACTGACAGGGTTGAACTACATTGGTCATGTCTTCTCAACTAGAAGCCGGAGAATTTCCTCACAAAGCTAGTTACTAGTGAGCACATGTCACTATATTTTCGGTTAGAGTTTTGGAGATTTGTGTTTTTACACATTTGAAATCATCAATCAATCATTGTCAGACCAACATTAGAAACCCGGACGGCAGGCCAGTGGTCTAGAGGTTACGCCATCATGCGCAACACCGAAGGTTTGGGTTCGAATCCTGCGAGGTGCAGGAGTCGTGGATGCGCACTGTTGATGAGTCCCATACCAAGACGAAACGGCCGTCCAGTGCTTCCAGTTTTCTAATGGTGGTCTAACAATGATTGATTGATGATTTCAAATGTGTAAATAAACACAAATCTCCAAAACTCTAACCGAAAATATAATTTACAGTTATAGACTGCTGAGATTGAACTCATTGAATTGATGACAGTTAAACAATCCGTTAATGACTTTGAATGATTGAATGGACTATCATTCTTGTCGTGGAACATGTATATTTATATATCTATCAGTCGTCTGCTACTGTTATGCTCGTCACTTCATATTCTTGAAACTGTTACTGGTTCACCTTAGTCGAGAAGATGAAGCCCGTGACACGGTAGGCTACTCTTATCCACTGACCCTAAAAAGTCTTGATATAGCGTAGAAATTGTATTCTACAAACATCCAGCAAACACAATGCAATCAAGCACACAAATGGAGTTTATTCATAAATCATAGAAACAACCTTGGGAGAGTCACAAAAATAGCACACTAAAATAACACATCAACCAATCATAGCCAATGATCTTCCTGGTGAGAAATGTGTTCGCAAGGTCAACTAACTGATCAGCCCATGAATAAAATCCAAAATTAAGGCCTTTATCAAGTGAGTTTTGGCGATCTAACATCCCTAACAGGCATTCATAGTCATTCATCACTCCTAGTTCAATGAAATGTATGAAACTAATCCGAATAAAATAAAGAATTAATTCATGAAATGTTTTTCTATGCAAGCCCAAATTACAAACTTAGAATTGTCTGTCTGTCTCAATAATGATTAGTACTTCTATTAGGGTTTAATTGATTTAAAAGTCATTTCATTCAGTTGAATAATATTTTACCTGATTACAGTTTAAATTTGTTATTCCAAACGTAGAACTATTCATTCCTCAAGGTCACTGCTCTCATCCGTACATTTTATTGATCAGTAGTCATTAAGAAAATCTACAACAATTGATATGATAAGTAATGATTAGAGAGTTTGGAAATGTATACCTATTATATTTGCATTACAGGGTTGTGAAGATTTTTAAGTTACACAATTTTCGAAACCATGAATCGATCAATGTTAGACCACCATTAGAAACCTGGAAGCACTGCACGGCCGTTTCGTCCTGGTATGGGACTCATCAACAGTGCACATCCATGACTGCTGCACCCCGCGGGATTCGAACCCAGGACCTTCGGCATTGTGCGTGAACGCCTAACCATTGGACGACTGAGCCGATTTCTAACGGTGTTAATGTCTAACTTGATCAATTCACGGAGTTGCGCAACCTCATACACAGTCTTCGGTAGTTACTGCCTACACCCAAACAGGGTGAACTTCACTAGTAACGTCTTCCCACTAGAACTTGGAGAAGATTCCTCACGAAACGGCCGTCCAGTGCTTCCAGGTTTCTAATTGTGGTCTAACATTGATCGATTCATGGTTTCAAAAATTGTGTAACTTATTATATTTGTATGTATATTTTGAAATAGCTTATAGTGATTGCACTTTTATGAAGAGTACACGATTGGTTTTTTTAAATAGAAACATTCATTATTATTATAATCAGTAATTGTTTTACTGAACTACTTTGTTTATTCCTACTGCGTACATGGAAAATTTCTTTTTGTGCATGCTACCATTTTGGTTGCACTGCTTGTTGTCACTTCGGCCCCTTTTTTTTCTCTGGTTTCGATTTCGGGTATTCTGTCGATACCATGAAATCCTTTGTCTGGATCAACTCTTCTTCTTCTTCTTTGTCCTTGATTCACGGAGATATTACACTTTTAGTGGTGGCAACGTAATTGATCTGCATTGGTGTCTGTTACGTATGCATGTAAACATGTCATTTTGTGATATGCTTGAATTATTATTACGAGTTTGCCTTCGTCGGTAAACGAGAGTGAGAATCGAGGATCCAGAGACATGACATGCTACTCTAATCCAAGTGTCCTAACCCCCATTGAACAATAGAAGAAGACTTGATATGAAGTAGAACCTGTATTCTTCAAACATCCAGAAAGTACGAGGTCCGAATCAAGAATAGAATGAGGATCCCGGACTAAGGATCCGGGTTCGGGTCATAAAACGTTACAGATAATGCGTATTTATACATTTTGGTCGGATAGGAAACAGCATCGAAGTCTGTGACATTGACAGTTAAGACGACCAATAAGAAACAACATTGGAGTACGTGACACTGATATCTAGGACCACCACATAATTGAACAATAGGAACAAACTAATATTAATTGACCAATAATTCTCTTAGGATATTGAATGAATATCCTAACAATGTCCATAGTCATTTCCCGACTTGAGCAATTACAAGCTTATTTTGTTAAAGCACTTAACTTTCAAATGGTAGATCTCAACCACTTTGGTTTCAGTAACCAGGTAGTATTGTTCACTGTCACACAATGAATTCAACTCTTAAGCTGAGTGACATATATTTTTACGTGATATATAATCAACTCAATAAGCCATACCGATAAACATACACTTATAAATAATTATCAGTTGAAGGAGCTTGATCTCTTCATTGTGACTATTCAAGATTGAAGCAATAATTCAATCTTTCCATACAATGTTTAACCATCATCATCGGAAACCTGGATAGCACTGGACTGCTATTTCGTCCGAGTTAGACAATAGCACTGATGGGTACCGGCTCAGTGGTTTAGTGGTTAAGCGTTTGCTGTATGCTAGACCAATGCTCCTCCTACGTTCTAGTCCCGGGTGCGGACGTTGTAGATACGTACTACTGATGAGTTCAGTGCTTCCGGCTATTTGATACTGATCCAACAGTGATCGACTCATGATTTCAACTCTGTCGGGTGTAGGCAGTAACTAACAAAGACAAATGTGTGAGGTCACGCAAAATCCCCAGATCAATCAGATTCAGACATTAACACTGTTGGATGCCGGCCAACTCAGTGGTCCAATGGTTAGGCGTTTGCGCACAATACCGAAGGTCCCGGGTTCGAGTCCTGTGAGGTGCAGGAGTCGTGGACGCGCACTGACACCTATGAGACAAAACGGCCGTCCAGTGCTTCCAGGTTTATAATGGTGGTCTAACAATGGTTGATTGATGATTTCAAATGTGTGAAAACACAAATCTCCAAAACTCTAACCGAAAATATAATTTACAGTTATAGACTGCTGAGAATGAACGCATTGAATTGATGACAGTGAAACAATCCGTTAATGACTTTGAATGATTGAATGGACTATCATTCTTGTCGTGGAATATGTACATTTATATATCTATCAGTCGTCTGCTACTGTTATGCTCGTCACTTCATATGCTTGAAACAAATACGGGTTCACCTTAGTCGCGACAATCAAACAGTGTCCGAGTAGGCTACTCTTATCCATTGACCCGATATAGCGTAGAAAGTGTATTCCACAAACACCCAGCCAGCACACAACGTACTACTGATCAGTTCAGTGCTTCCGGTTATTTGATACTGATTCGACAGTGATCGATTCATGATTTCAAACTATATTATTGACACATTTTAAACAATTAATATACACAGTCTTTGATTGATATATATACAAACATTTTCACGTTAGGGAATATACTTTTAAATATAGTTAGTTATATAGACATAAATAGTTTAGAAACTACCTTGACCTTAATCATAATATACATATAGTGTGTGTCTGTGTGTGCGTCTATATGTGTATGTGTATGTGTGTGTGCGGATGATGATGGTCAGCTGATTCATGAATGATTTCAGTTGGCTAATGCAAGATCATTCATTGTAAAAGAAGTTACACTTCATGATGTATAGACAGAACTCAGCATGCAACATCTTTAGATCATAACATAAGCTGTATATATATATATATATATATATATATATATATATATATATATATATTTAAATATCTATAATCTATATACGCTGATCAATATATATTATTTACAAAAGATCATATCATGCATAACTATTATTCTAAAAGTTTTCAAGTTATCAATCATTATTTTCTATTCATTCAATTAGAATGTTGTTTGTTAACTTAAACTTTGTAAATCATTATACTTCAATGAACTTGTGCTGTTATAACAAACTATCCACTCACTACATTGTATTTGATCTGATATGTATCAATCAGTGATAACATGGAATTTACAAGTTTTGATAGCAGCGAACTGTAAGCTTATGTACATAAATGTTATAATTTTTGTCTAAAAAGAGTTGATAACAGCTACTTGAATGAATGCCTTTTTATGTGTGTGAATTGAGTTAAGAGTATTGTTGAAGTTTTAAAAAATTGAAATTACACTTGAAAAAGGAAAACATCATATAAATAATAATTTGTAAAGATGGTTGAGTTTTTTAATGGATACGTACTAATGAGAAGTGGTCTCATAATTATAACATGAAATGGTTGTCTGGTGCTTAGAGATTTTCAACAGTTGAATAGAGGATTTCAATGAAAAGTAATAGCTGTTCTTCTTGGGAAGTTCACATATATCTTGCTCAATCAAGAGTAGTGGATGAGGTTGTACAAAGTCCATAGATTGATCAAAGTTAGACATTAATACTGTGGTTCAGAGGTTAGGTGTCTGAGCGCCAGACCGAAGGGTTCCGATCCCCAAGAGTAGGCAGATTCATTGATGTGCACTGCCACTGATAAGTAGTCCCATACTAGGACGAAACAGCCGTCTACCAGTGCTTCCAAGTTTCCGATGATGGTGATGGTCTAACAATAGTTGATTGATTGATTGTCAGTGACTTCATTGATGTGTGCCATGTTTTGGTTTGGCCGCCCTTAATTTTCTTCCAACCTATTCCTACATCGCAAAGCATAGCTCGACGAGGCAATCGCCCATTCTGACAACCAGAGCCCTTCCAAAATGTGGGCAGCCAGCAAGTAACATCCACCTTCATACCCGTAAAAGCACACGAGACCAAATAGCTCAGAATCAAATCTTTTCTATACCTCCTAAAAACTCTCTTATCTTCACGACAAACCCTTCTTTCGATCATTTGTCATCTCAAGCCCCTGATTAGTCTCATACTCGGTCGAAACAGCCATCAAGTGCTTTGAATACATTGCTTCTATCATCTGAATGAAATTGAAAATACATTATTAGTTATTATTTTTTGTTATCTTGTAACAGCATCTTCTTGGTTGCAGCAAAACAACCATGTGAAATGATAAAGAAAATTTATAGCTAAGGTCGATGATTATATAGTGGAGTTTCAACGACTAAAAGATCCAGCTCAGATAAAGACACTGCACTATAAATAACTCTTTCCATTTTAATAAAATTTTTGAATGTGAACTTCATCATGAATAAGCATTAGTTAGTGTTACCATTGTCATTGAAAAGACTAGGCCTCATGATTTCTACATAGGCCTAAACGTTACTCGAATGATGCCATCACATCCCGCTGCATTTGTGTGCATGTTTGTATGGACATACATACACATAAGGAGGAGTAATCGAACTTTGCAATCAATGGTTTTGGAACATGTACCTAAATGGCTTCAAAATCAGTTAACGTCAGATGAGCCGATTAGCGTGAGAAATAGAAAACCATGTTCATCGATCGCAAAACACATAAAATTGAGACAGGGCATAAAATTAACATTAAGACAGCCTTCAAAACATTGTATAGAAATGTTGAAGAACACGAATTTTGAGGTTTATGGAAGCCTTAGCTATTCATAAATTAAAACCATCGCCCTTATGTGTACGGTAACAATTTGTTATAACCTTGAATTTACCCTGGTAATCTTTAAGCCTAGAGTAATGTGACAATTTTCTAGATTATGTTAATTTTCTCTTTCCTTTATTTACAAATATCATCACCTTATGTCTATTTGAACTTTTGTTTATAACTGACCTTTTATTCATCTTCATATAAAATGCCTTGACAAGTGTACACCAATGTGTATGTGACCAGATTGTTAGAAATATGCATAGCACACAAATACATCACACCATTTTTCAAATTAATTACCGTCTTCTCACTGTATTCTATCAAAAATTATCTGAATATTGATTCTTTGTAACTTTTTCAAATGACTATTTCAACAGTTTTCCAATGATCACTTCATCATTTTTTACTGATAAGCATTAAAAAACAAATCATTCAATTACTTTGATAAGTATTTAAATTACTACTGAAGTCTTTCATTTACATTTATATAAAATCATATTATCGGGTAGAGTTTTGGAGGTTTCGCTCACAATACCGAAGGTCCCGGGTTCGAATCCTGCGGGGTGCAGAAGTCGTGGATGCGCACTGCCACTGATAAGTCCCATACCAGGACGAAACGGCCGTCCAGTGCTTCCAGGTTTCCAATAATGGTGGTCTAACAGTGAATGATTGATTGATGATTTCAAATTCGTTAAAAAAATCATATTAGTCGAATGTTATTCAGTGATTAAATTTTAAGGTGTATTCCAATGCAATGATGAATATTACTTCGTAATTATTTTGGGGCAGAGTTTGGGAGGTTTGTGTTTTTACACATTTGAAATCATCAATCAATCATTGTTAGACCACCATTATTAGGAACTTGGAAGCACTGGACGGCTGTTTCGTCCTGGTATGAGACTCATCAGCAGTGCGCATCCTAATTATTTATTATTCTATCAAATATAAATTTTATTTATTGGTGATTGATATTGCCATAATGTCTACTTTTCACTAGTTTAATTCATTTCCTTTTTTCCGTTGATTGCCTACTTTGAAAAAAAACAACTCATCAGTGGCAGTGCACATCCACGACTCCTGCATCTCATAGGATTCGAACTTAGGACCTTCGGTTTTGTTTACGAATACCAGGACGAAACAGCCGCCTAAAAAGTGCTTTCAAATTTCTAACGGTGGTCTAACAATGATTGGTTGATTGATGATTCCTGTGTGTTCATGCTTTCGTTTAAACTACTTTAGAGATTTATCTATTTTCTAAAGAGTTCGTTTAGATCAACTTTGCTATCAATAATTTATATTACCAATACTTTTGGTTATCGAAAATTATCCAACGTTCCTATAGAAATAGTTGCCAATTTTAACTTGTCAGTATTCATTCCAGATCTAACACTTTCTATGATTGACTAAGAAGTGGCTGAAAGTTATTTCACAAAATAATTCCAACTTGATATTTCATAAATTTTTCTCTTTGATTATACCATATGATTGCCTACAATCGACCGATCAACATAAAGTCTATTCGTTAAAATTATATCATTTGCAAATGATTAATAGCCCCTTGTTCATTAGTAGTAGTATGAGTAGTAGTAGTAGTAGTAGTAGAAGTAGTAGTAGTAGTAGTAGTAGGAGTAGGAGTAGTATTAGTATTAGTATTAGTAGTAGTGGTATTAGTAGTAGTAGTGTGGCGTACTCTACTTATGTTCACATAAGTAGTATATGAAATCGAACGGAAATCAAACGTCTGATAGCAAAAGATCGAGAAGGAAAAAAATGAGAGAACAGAAGGCAATTTGTAGGTAACGAACGTAAAGTGAACTGAAGTCTGAACAGTCTAAATGAAAGAACACTGAAATCTGAAACAAATAAGGATTAGTTTGCAAATGATGATTTCACGGAAAGGTTTTTGTATATATGCTTAACAACTCTGTAATATTCGGTCAAATATATAGATGTTAATGTCCTCACCTGAGTTTTCGTGCCCAACAGTAGGTGTAGTGTAGTGTAGTGTAGTGAAGGAGAACACAGGTGAGGGCAACCGAATTGTATTTAACGAAAATGACAGAGTTACTCATTAAAATAGGAAAACCATATCGTAAGCGTTACTTTGCAAAATATCAATCAATCATCAATCCATTGTCTGACATTTCACTGTTCATGCGTTTTATACAAATTCCATTGAGTTCCCACTCTTCCTTTCTTGTTGATCTTCTCCCATCTTCTGCTGCCAGACATTACGTTGACACCCGCGTCATATACTACTTATAAGTAGCTCACACCACAGTAGTAGTAGTCGGAGTTGTAGTAAATATTGTACTAGTGTGAGTAGTAGTAATAGTAACATTGAATCCTCTTTCGGTAATTTCGTAAAACTATTTTTATCGTTCAACTTACTATTGTTTGCTTTGTAGGCCAACACCAGTGACTATTGATCAATTTATAACACATTACGAAAAATATTCAGAAGATTCATTTGCAGCATTAAAAGTACAATATCAAGTAAGTAATCATAAGGTTTTTTGCATCAATATTTATTCTTTTTAAAGAAATTTTGAATTTCTATGTTTTCGCGCGTCAGTGATGCTCATTTTGACATTCAGGTTGTATTACCCATGTGGGAAAATTCTTGACTGTCATTGGTTGATGGATTATTTTAGTGCGCTATTTTGTGACTTGCACCAAGGACGTTTCTATCATTGTATAAATAAGCTTGAGCTGTGTGCTTGTTGACCTTGTACTTTCTGATTGCCTGTGAATACATTCTCTCTAAGTCTTCTCAAGACTTCTTGGTTTATTTATCGGTGACTGGGACAATTAGATTAGAATAGCCTATCGTGTCACTGCATTGTTGATCTTCGTTCTGTTTACCGAGTAAGGTGAACTCATCATAATAGCTCAAGTATATCACTTTGGTGCAACTACTTTGTAGATTAATTAAGTAATATGTAGAATTTTTTAAAAAAAAACTACTACTTAGTGTGCATTATTTAATTATTCAATCGTTAGTCTACTGTTAAAATCTACGTTCTAAATAGGGAGAAAAGATGTATTGATTGTTATTCATAAGGATTACTGACAGTAGTATCAAGAGGCATATTTCCTGGAAAAAATTCTTTGCAAAATGAACTCACAACAGGTTCATGTGTTCAAAAGAAAGCAGTGAGGATTGGCTTTGTATCTAGTTATTGAAGGTTTGCCAAACTTGATTATTTCATCAATCTCACCCATAATGTATATTGAAATCGTGAATTGATCATCTTTAGACCAATATTAGAAACCTCAAAGCACTGAAGGGCCATTTTGTTCGAGTATGGAAGCTATCACCAGTGCGCACCCACCATTCCCACCAAAAGGAATCGAACCCAGGACCTTCGGTCTCGTGTGTGAACTCTTAACATCTATACCACTGGGTCAGCATCCAACAGTGTCATTGTCTAACTCTGATCGATCTAACTTTTTGTGCAACCTGTCCCATTGTTTTCGGTGAATAAGTGCCTACAACACCTGACAAGGTTGAACTTCACTGGTCACGAGGTCTGCTCACTAGAACTCTGAAGAATTTCCTCACAAAACTAGTCACTAGTGAATAACGTTTTATGATTTTTAATCGTCATAGAGTTAGTGTGTGTTTTATGATTTCACAGAAAAACAACGGATCTGAATAACTCTATGACGAAAAATATGACGTATATACCCCTTCTGTTACATAACTTGAATTAACAGCCAATGATTTCAGAGACTGTTGGGGACGTTAGATCCATAGAACTCGCTTAATAACAGACTTATTCTGGATTTCACGTTTGCGAGTATGGACTGATCATTTGACCTTGAGATTACATTACCCACCCGGAAAATCCATGGCTGTGATTGGCTGCTGTGTATTTTGGTGTGCTATTCTGTGTAACTGTCCCAAGGACGTTTCTGTGGTGTATAATTCAACGAGATTTGTATGCTTGATTGCATTGTGCTTGCTGGGTGTTTGTAGAATATACTTTCTACGCTATATTAAGACTTCTCTTTAGCCGTTTCGGATCAAGTTAGCCTACCTGGACGTTGGTTCATTGTCTCGTTCACGTTTATCAACTAAGGTGTACCCGTAATAGTTTGAAGCATACCTAGTGACGAATTTAACAGAGACTGATATCATATGTTAGCTTGTCCATTCGTATGCTTCTTAAAAACCTACTTCAATAAAATAATCAATACTACTTGTCAAGGTGTTAAAATAGTTTGGCATGTATCCTGAATTGTACAACTGTAGTGAACGAGAACGCAAGTGGTACAACCGGAGTTAATCAGTAAAATCGGAAAACCATATCGTAAATCGTTAATTTGCAAAATATCAGTTCATCATATCGAACTGGACTATTCCTGTTGCGAAACATCAATCCATTGTCATTATTTATGCGTTTCATGCAAATTTCATTGTTTTCTAACTCTTCCTTTCTTGATCTTCCCCCATCTTCTGCTGTCAGACATTACGTTTATACTCACGTCATATACTATTTATAAGTAGCTCACACCACACAACTATTCTAATATATATATATATATATATATATATATATATATATATATATAATTGTCTATAAGAATTAATTTCCATTTTCTATTCCTTTTTTAATAGTTGATTGTAAGTAATAGTCAAAGTTTAATACAATCAGATATGCTTAGTCAAGAAATAGGACAAACTAATGCCAATAGACGATTAAATCGTTTTAGTGATATTCTACCATGTAAGTGTAGTGTTTTTTGATTTAAAAATAAAATAAAATAACAAATAATTGTTTTATTTTACTTATATCTTGCTTGGTTAACCGAACCGAACAAGCCGGCTGAACATGTACATCACTGCTCTATATAGGCAACACAAGGATTTTACACTGTAGCCAGCCAACATTGATCATCCCTGCCCCAAATACAGGAACGCTCATGTTGTCCAGTTTGGTCTGCAAAACAGGTCGGACAACCGAAAAGCACGCACACGAATAGTGAGTGGCTCCCATTTGGGTACTTGTGAATCTATAAGGTCCCTCCAACCAATCCACTGCCCGAGATCCCTATTCGGATAAATTTCTATTTCTTTTTTAATTTAACTCTGTATAACTATGAATATAGGAGCAATTATTCTAAAGGGAAAATTTGTAAAATAAGCGAACTACAGAGTTTTGTGGTGAATAAACGGAATATCATTTTGTCCAGAGCAGGGGGGTGGGGGAAATGGTTATTGTGTTCATCTATCTATTCATTTATCCAATGATAAAGAGTATTTTGGAACATTATTTTTGGAGGCACTGAAAGTGCGACCGTTTCGTCCTCGTATGAGACTCATCGGTGGCAGTGCACATCCACGACTCCTGCACCTCACAGGATTCAAACCCGAAACCTTTAGTATTGTGCGTGAACGCCTAACCTCTGGACCACTGAGTTGGCCAGCATCCAACGGTATTCATGTCTAACTCTGATTGATCTAGATCAATCTCCATTACTCTAATTGAAAATATTCTACAGATATGTATATTATATTAGACTTTTTTAATGAATACTTTCCTAAAAATATGATGACATGATGTGAAGTGTTTTTTCGTTGAATGACAGACTGAAATCAATAGATCACATTGGATAACCACTAATAGATACAACTCAGTCAGATTTCGTTCTACAATTGTTCTTCTTGGTTAATTGAAATTTTTCTTTAAAATTATGACAATATCATTTACCCTATATTATTGAAACAAACAAATTTATGGTCTTATAATGTAGAACTTAGTATGTACATACATCAGTTCAGGTCGTCATACTACATTACCTCACGGAACTGTAACTGTCATTTCAACTATCATATAGGCAGAGATAATAGACGTAGTATCGGTAATGGAGAAGATCAGGGTTCGAAGATACTATTCAAGAAGTATAATTTAGTGAGATAAGTTTAGAAAGATAAAGGTAGAGGTGTTGACGAATTCAGAAGATTAGGATTTGGGAGAACACAATGAATGAATGCACCGGCGTCATTGCAAACGATTTTGAGCTATATCATTCAAGATCTCTAACCATCGATCACTATCATCTTCCGGACCCTAACCACGTAGTCTACACCTATCAACATGACTCAGTCCACTTGTCAATGACTTCATGGATTTGTGCCATGTTTTGGTCATTAAGTAAAAAACTACTGATATTACGACTTATAGTGTTTAGATTTTAAAATATAAATAACGTTTATTTTGTCACTATCAAAATACACATTTAAAAAATTAAGATATCGATTTTGTCTTACTGTGAACCTATAATATATATTGGCTACAAGGTTAATTATAGGTTTATCAACAAGAACAACCTTAGAATTTGCACCATACTGTTACCACGCTCCGTATGTGACTGTGATAAGTTTGATTACAATATTGGTGAATACTCTCATCATTATTATTAAAAATGAGATTGCATTACGGAGTTGTGAAGATTGTGCAAGTTACACATTTTACTCACTAGTGACTAGCTTCATGAGGAACCCTTCTCCAAGTTCTAGTGGGAAATCGTGACCAGTGAAGTTCAACCTGTTCGGATATAGTAGACAGTAACTACCGAAGACTGTGTATGAGGTTACGCAACTCCGTGAATTGATTTAAGTTAGACTTTAACAGCGTTAGATACCGGCCAGCTCAGTGGTCCAGAGGTTAGACGTTTGCGCATAATACCGAAGGTTCTGGGTTCGAATCCTGTGAGATGCAGGAGTCGTGGATGCGCACTGCCACTGATGAGTAGTCCCATACCAGGACGAAACGGCTGTCCAGTGCTTCCAGGTTCCTAATAATGGTGTTCTAACAATGACTGATTGGTGATTTCAAATGTCTAAAAACACTAATCTCCATAACTCTAGTCGAAAATGTCGCACAACATGCTCACTAGTGACTAGTTTTGGTGCGGAGTCGTGACCAGTAGAATTAAACCCTGTCGGTTGTAGGCAGTAAAACTACTGAAGACAAACTGGTGAGTTCGTGTAAAACTCCCAAATTGATCAGAGTTAAACATTAACACCGTTGGATGCCAAGCAGCTCAGTGGTCTTATAGGTTAGTCGTTCCTACGCGGTACCGAAGTTCCCAGGTTCGAATCCTGCGAATTGTGGGAGTCGTGCATATGTAATGTTGATGAGTAGTCCCATACCTGGACGAAACGGTCGTCTTTCAGTTCTCCCAGGTTTCTAAGGGTGGTAGTCTAACAATTATTGACCTGGTTGGGGTCCGCGAGATGTTAGTAATCGATGGTTAGAGACCTTGAACGACATGGCTCAGAGTCGTTTGCAATGGCGCAGGTGCATCCACTCTTTGTGTTCTCTCTAATTCTAAGCTTCTGAATTCCATATTGCCTCTATCTTACTTTTTCTAAATTTCTCTGACTGAATTATACTCCTCGAATCATATCTTCGCTCCCTAATCTTCTCCACTACTCTCTAATTCTTCTACTATCTCTATCACTCTTGGATTCGAACTGACAGTTGCGTCTCTGTGCTGGTGGTATGGCAACCTGAAATGATGTACTTATGTACGAAGTTCTGCGTTGTATCTGTCTGTGTGATTCACGATTTCAATGTTTAATGTCTCATTGATCAAACGTTTATCGTTAACTAATTATATCGTTCAGATTAGCTTACCACAGGGATTTTTCTCAGATGTTGACATACATGTGACATCTATTTGTTTTAAAAGCATAAATGAAAGATTAAAAATAATTTATCGAAATAGTTAAACAGAGAATAATAATTTCTTCCCAAATTTACTGTCTACTTTCCTATTTCAATATCTTCTTGACAAATTGCATCTGATTAATGTTCAAATACTAGACTTGATGTGACTGACTGTTTTTCATTGAAATCACAATTCCGCAATTACAAAAAACACTGAAAATCGTTGGAGGAATTTTTTTTTCTAGTTAAAATGAAATTTTCAATTTGATGAACATGCAAATTTTAACCTCTAATCGAAATAGCTTTTGCCAAATAAATTTCAACTAATCAAAATCATCACAAGTACAGATATTTAAAGATAATTAACATATTTACAGCCTTTTTTGGGGCACAGTTTTGGAGGCTTGCGTTTTTACACATTCGAAATCACCAATCAATCATTGTTAGACCACCATTATTAGAAACCTGAGGGCACTGAAAGACAGCCGTTTCGTCCTGGTATGGGACTCATCAGTGGTAGTGCGCATCCACGACTCCTGCACCTCGCAGGATTCGAACCCAGAACCCTCGGTATTGTGCGCGAACGCTTAATCTCTGGAGCAGTGGACCGATATCCAACGGTGTTAATGTCTAACTCCGATTGATTGATGATTTCAAATTTACAGTCAACAAAAAATTTTTCTTTATCATAGTATGATGAGGATCGTTAGTTATTATACAGCGAAATCATGAATGAATCATTGTTAGACCACTGGTGGAGCTTATTCCTGTACAGTGTGTAGATAGTCATCACCGAATACGATGGGGTGAGGTTGCATAAAACTCTTAGATTGATCAGAGTTAAACATTAACACCGTTGGATGTCGACTCAATGATCCAGTGATTAGACATTCGTATGCAAAACTGCATGCAGGTCCTGACTTTGAAATCTGTGAGTAGCAGGAGTTGTGGATGCGCACTGCCACTGATGAGTAGTAGTAGTAGTCCCATACCATGACGGAACGGTCGACCAGTGCTAACAGGTTTTTTAAATCGCGATTTTATTGTTACGTTTGATTTCTTAGGATGATGATCATTTTTATTGATCGACATTTTACTTCATATTAATAATGTTTACAGAATTATTTTTATCGATAAAAACCTGCTAGCTGTGAATTTTATTGTTACAATTAATTACTTTGAACCCTATTTTGTTTCAGATGATCAAACACGAGTGAAGTTAAATCCAACTGAGAAAAACAAACAGGTAAATATCTTTAGTTTGGATTTATTTCACCGGCCAATAAGTTAGTTGACCTTGAGATCACATTTCCCACAAGGAAAACCCTTCGCTGTGATTGGTTACTGTGTTATTTTTGTGTGCTATTTTTGTGACTGTCCCAAGGACATCTCTATAGAGTATAAATAAAAGTGATTTGTGTGGTTGGATTGATTGTGTGCTGGCTCGGTATTTGAAGAATACATTTTCTACGCTATATCAAGACATCTTGCTGATACAATTGGGACAACTGGATCACAGTAGCCTACCTGGACTCTGATTCATTGTTTTGTTCTCGTTATTCGACTAAGATGAATCCGTAATAGTTTTAAGCATACTTCGAAACGATTATAACAGTTTTTGAATATAATTCAAACTTCACTAGTATGTTAATATCATTTAGTTTCTTGAAATGATATGCTTGAATAATGCTATGACGATTTCACCTTATTCGGAAAACGAGAGTGAGGATCGAGGATCCGGCGACACAACATGCTAATCTAATCCGAGCGTCCCAAGCTCACACTCAGTAGACGAAGAAGTCTTGACATGGTGCAGAAAGTATATTCTACATGCACTCAGAAAAACACGAGGTTTTTCAAGCACACAAATCGAGTTTATTTATACATGATAGAAACGTCCTTAGGAGAGCCATAAAAATAGCGTGCTAAAAAAAATACACAGCAACCAATAACAACCACGGATTTTCCGTGGTGGGAAATGTAATCTCAAGGTCAACTGATCAAAATTAGAGCATTTATCAAGTGAGTTCTGGGTTATCTAACGTCGTCCCCAAACAGGTAATTTTAATTATGATATCAGTTTGCAGACATTAGTCGTTAATGAAATCTATACAGCAGTTCGCTCCGTTCTCCTATATGGCTATGAAACATGGCCGTTAAGAGTAGAAGATCTTCGTAGGTTACTAGTATTCGATCATAGATGTTTAAGAGGCGTTGCTCGTATATCGTGGGACAGCCGAGTAAGCAATGCTGTTATTAGGAAACGAGTACTAGGTAACGATGGCAGGTAAATAGATAAAGTAGTGAAACTTCATCAGTTGAGGTGGTTGGGACATGTGCTGCGTATGCCTAACCACTGACTGCCTCGACGAGCTGTTTTGTGGTGTAGGAGTAGACTGGAAGAAATCTAGGGGCGGCCACACCAAAACATGGCAGAAATCCATGAAGTCACTGACTAGTGGACTGAGTCATGTTGGTAGATGTAGACTACCTGGTTGGGGTCCGCGAGACAAAAGTCACCAATCGTTAGAGACCTTGAACGACATGGCTCAGAATCGTTTGCAATGGCGCAAGTGCATCTTTTCGTTGTGCTCTCTCAAATCCTAATCTTCTGGACTCGTCTGCACCTCTACCTTTGTCTTTCTAAACTTATTTCACCTGATTATACTTCTTGAAAAAAATCTTGAAACCCTAGTCTTCTCAATTACCCTTAATACTAACTCTACTATCTTTAAGACTATAGGATTTGATTTGACATTTGCGTCTCTGTGCTAATGTGGTATGGCAACATGAACATACATTAGTACTAACGTACGAAGTTCTACGTTGCAACTGACTGACTGACTGAACATATGAAGTATGAAATTTTGTTTCAGTGTGAATGGATATTCATTTCAAACTTGTAGACAACAACTAATCAGTCATCGACAGTTTAAGAAGAAATTGTTTTTTTTCACTTATTCACTTTTTTTTGCTAGGATCATGATTATGTGAATGCAAGTTTTATTTATGAAATTATACCATGTACAAGTGTAAAAACACATCCAATATTAAATAGAAATAAAATTGCCTATATTGCATCTCAAGCACCGTTAGAATCAACAGCTGGTGATTTTTGGCGAATGATACTTGATCAAAATATCACTGTTATTGTTATGCTTACAAAGTAAGTGAATAAAGTCATCTCAATATATTAACTACTACTGTGGTGTGTGCTACTTATACGAACGATATAAGTAGTATAAGAAGGGACATGAAAGAAGTCTCACAGTCAGAAGAGGAAAACCGAAAGCGGAGAGCAAATGGAGCACCAACAGGAAGGAAAGGAAGCAACAACAGGAATGGAAGAAGAATGGAGCGATGGAAGTCACGACTCAAAGATGGTGTGCAAATAGAGTGTTCAATGTAATGATTTCGTTTTGTTGGCAATTCCTCTTCCACTATCCGGTTACTCCGCAAATATAGCATTTATTATTTCTTTCACCCTTTATTCGTAACGCTGCCAGCTCGTGTAGTAATTCTTCCATCTTCTTCGCGACATCATCAGCCTGTCTTTCACATGCCACCGAGGCAACTGTTGAGTTCATCAGTTGTCTTGTTACTTTAGCCAGCTCGGTAACGTCCATTGGTTGTGCCGCGTTCACCAGTCTCAACTGTTGGGTAACCTCTGCAGGCACAATTTCAATGGAATGCGACGCTAGCAGCTGTGCTGCGGACTCCTCATCCAAATTCGGCAGACCCCGGCGCAGCAATCTCGTCAACTCCCCAACACCACCGCCTTCACCCTCTGCTCCTTGACTTCTACCAGCTCCGACACGGCCTCGAACTCCTTCATGAAGCTCCTTACGTCTCAGTCTTCAAACTCTTGAGGCCATGGGATCTTCATCCTATGTGGAGGCAGCGACACCGATTGCGAAGACTGAGGCAGGCGCGGAAGACTGTATTATACAAATTTACACTCTTAATCAATTAAAATCGAAAACATTACATTGAACATTCTATTTGCACACCATCTTTGAGTCCTGACTTCCAACGCTCCAGCCTTCTTCCATTCCTGTTGTTGCTTCCTTTCCTTCCTGTTGGTACACCATTTACTTCTTGCTTTTTCTCCATTTGCTTTCCGCTTTCCGTTTTCCTCTTCAGACCGTGCAACTTCTTCACTCACGTCCCTTCTAATACTACTTATATCGTTCGTATAAGTAGCACACACGACACTAATACTTACTACATATGGTTTGTAGTTTTTTTTTGTTTGATGAGATTGTGGTTGCCAATGATCAACGTGTTCTGAAGCTTTGTAATTCACTTGTCTAGGCACAATCAGCATTAAATAACGCCTGAGTGGTATTATAAATCAGAAGGCAAATACGAAGTGTCGAATTCGTTTATATTTTTTAGCACACACCACAAAATGGGACAGCGGACTATAAGCAGACAGGGTAGGCACACTAGCAGGCGAATGTGCGGATGAATGGATAAAGCGAAGTGGAGAAGGCTAGTGATTCCTTCCTCTGGGGTATAGATATTGAAAGAAATACGCGGTCATTGATCTTTTCGATTACCGCTCATGTGGTGCGCGCTACTTATAAGTAGTATATGACGTTAGTGTAAACGTAATGTCTGGCAGCAGAAGATGGGGGAAGATCAAGAAAGGAAGAGTGGGAACACAATGGAATTTGTATGAAACGCATGAATAAGTGAAATGTCAGACAATGGATTGATGATGGATTGAAGACTTGCAAATTAACGGTTACGATATGGTTTTCCTATTTTACTGAGTAACTCTGTAATTTTCGCCACATACAATTCGGTTGCCCCACCTGTGTTCTCCATCACTGCACTCATACTTCTACTACCTTTACTTCTACGGTAGTTGAATTGGTGATTGCATTTCTGTGCTAATGTGGTATGACAACTTGAACACTGATGTGCGTACGTACGAAGTTCTACGTTGTAACTGACTGACTGACATACTAGACTAAGACAACCGTCCAGTGCTTCTAAGTTTCTAATGATAGTCTAGATAAAAGTCGTTCATAAGTTCAACTGTGAAAAAGAATACACTCTCCGAAAATCTTCTTCATTAACGATAAAATAGTTATTTGTTTATGTTTATATAAAAACAATAATCTACCGACAAAACATTTTATTATTTCTTTTTGTTTTTCTAATTAAAAAACAACTTTAAAATCTAACATAGCTATTTACTACTTAATGAATAATATAAGTAGTTCAGATGTTGTTTTGAAAAAATAAATTGAAGTCGAATATTCCGTAACAGTGAACTCACGGCTATTTTTCTACACCAATTATTGTTAACCATGGAACTGTCAAAATTCAACTAACACTGAATTATTGTATCGTTCTAATTTATGACTTCCTAACTAATATACACTTTCATTAGATGCCGGCCCAGTGGTCCGATGGTTAGGCGTTCGCGCACACTACCGAAGGTCCCAGGTTCGAATCCTTCGAGGAGATGCAGGAGTCGTGGATGCGCACTGACACCGATGAGTCCCATATCAGGTTTCTAATGGTGGTCTAACAATGATTGATTGATGATTTCAAATGTGTAAAAACACAAACCTCGCTCCAAAACTGCATGAAAATATCGTAACAGTGCTCACTAGTGACTAGCTTCGTGAGGAGATTCTCGGAGTTCTAGTTGAGAAGATAAAAACAATGGAGTTCAACCCTGTCGGTTGTAGGCAGTAACTACCAAGGACAAATGTTTGACGTCGCGCAATTCCCTAGATTGATCAGAGTTAGACATTAACACCGATGGATGTCGGCCCAGTGGTACAATGGTTAGGCGTTCACGCACAATACCGAGGATCCTGGGTTCGGATCCTGTGAGGTGCAGGCGTTGTGGATGCGCGCTGTCACTGATGAGTCCCATACCAGGACGAAACGGCCGCCGAGTGCTCCCAGGTTTCTAATAATGGTGGTCTAACAATGACTGATTGATTGATGATTTCAAATGTGTAAAAACACACAACCTCGCTCCAAAACTCTACCCGAAAAAATCTAATTACTCTGTCATCAATTTCATACTAAACTATGATAATCAATTGTCTAGTCGGAAATAATCTACATTAAAACCTAATTTGATTGTATTTTTCCCAATTGATTTCTTTCCTATAGATTATATGAAGATGACATATCGAAATGTTGTAAATATTGGCCAAATGATATACATGAATCATTAACATTCCAATCGGATTGTTTAAAATTAGAAGTAACTTTACTATCAGAAGAAGATCATCATATGTATATATTACGTACACTTTACATTACTTCTTCTGTATGTCTGTCTATCTATCTATCTGTCTGTCCACAGTTGATTGATTTTTTTCTGTTCTTTTGAAACTAATTTAACAACTCCACCTGGAGTCGCTACTGAGGTCTACACTTACTGGTTCCAAGCCCGAATAATATTAAAGAAGGAGAGTTGGGCTTGGAGTTGGCAGCCTTATCCTGTGGAAAACTAATTCCCCCCAAAAAAGATGCCAACCAGAAAAAAAATTAATAATTGTAACACCTGCACATAAACACGTCAACTTGCTATACTTGAACTATGATGAGTTTACCGTAGTCGGAAAACGAGAGTGAGGATCGAGGATCCGGTGACACGACATGCTACTCAAATCCGATTATCCCAAGCCCCATATTTATTAAAAATAAGAAGACATGATATGAAGTAGAACCTGTATTCTACAAGCATTCAGAAAGTACGAGGTACGAGTCCATAAGAGAATGAGGATCCTGGACTAGGGATCCGGGACCGAGCCCTGGTCCTGGTTGTGTTCATAAAATGTTATAGATAATGCGTATTTATACATTTTGGTCGAATAGGAAACAGCATCAAATTCTGTGACATTGACAGTTAAGATGACCAATAGGAAGTTACATTTGAAATGACATTGACAGTCCGGATGACCAATAAGTGACAACATTGAATTATTTGACTTTGACAGTTAAAATGACTATAATTTTGACCAATAGAAATCGACCAATAGAATTTGACCAATAATTCTCTTAGGATATTTGATGAATATCCTAACAATAATTTAAGTTGGACTAAAATGGCTGACTTTGTGGATTCTCTGACTACATGTTCTAAAATGGTCTTCAAGTAACCTGAAAATGTAAACACAGTTGATCATTGTCCACGTCAAACGCTCCACACCAGTAAGAACTCGTAAAGTAGAACTAAATGATGGCCAAATGAAATCTGGTCATCAGTAGCAATTCACTAAATGAGATGAGTTCATTATCTGTTATGTTTGTCACTAGGTACGCTTGAAGCTATTACGAGTTCACCTTAGTCGATAAACACGAACGAGACAATTATTCAGCGTCCAAGTAGGCTACCTTGAATCCCAAGCTGAAGACAGAAGGCTTCGTAAGTGTAGAAAGTATATTCTACAAACACCCGTTGTGCTTGATTGTATTGTGATTGCTGGGTGTTTGTAGAATATACTTTCTACACTTACGAAGCCTTCTGTCTTCAGCTTGGGATTCAAGGTAGCCTATCTGGACGCTGGTTGATTGTCTCGTTCGCGTTTATTGACTAAGGTGAACTCGTAATAGCTTCAAGCGTACCTAGTGACGAACATAACACATAATGAACTCATCTCATTTAGTGAATTGCTACTGATGACCAGATTTCATTTGGCCATCATTTAGTTCTACTTTACGAGTTCTTACTGGTGTGGAGCGTTTGACGTGGACAATGATCAACTGTGTTTACATTTTCAGGTTACTTGAAGACCATTTTAGAACATGTAGTCAGAGAATCCACAAAGTCAGCCATTTTAGTCCAACTTAAATTATTGTTAGGATATTCATCAAATATCCTAAGAGAATTATTGGTCAAATTCTATTGGTCGATTTCTATTGGTCAAAATTATAGTCATTTTAACTGTCAAAGTCAAATAATTCAATGTTGTCACTTATTGGTCATCCGGACTGTCAATGTCATTTCAAATGTAACTTCCTATTGGTCATCTTAACTGTCAATGTCACAGAATTTGATGCTGTTTCCTATTCGACCAAAATGTATAAATACGCATTATCTATAACATTTTATGAACACAACCAGGACCAGGGCTCGGTCCCGGATCCCTAGTCCAGGATCCTCATTCTCTTATGGACTCGTACCTTGTACTTTCTGAATGCTTGTAGAATACAGGTTCTACTTCATATCATGTCTTCTTATTTTTAATCAATATGGGGGTTGGGATAATCGGATTTGAGTAGCATGTCGTGTCACCGGATCCTCGATCCTCACTCTCGTTTTCCGACTAGGTAAACTCATAATAGTTCAAGTATATCAAGTTGACGTGTTTATGTGCAGGTGTTACAATTATTAATTTTTTTTCTGGTTGGCATCTTTTTTGGGGGGAATTAGTTTTCCACAGGATAAGGCTGCCAACTCCAAGCCCAACTCTCCTTCTTTAATATTATTCGGGCTTGGAACCAGTAAGTGTAGACCTCAGTAGCGACTCCAGGTGGAGTTGTTAAATTAGTTTCAAAAGAACAGAAAAAAATCAATCAACTGTGGACAGACAGATAGATAGATAGACAGACATACAGAAGAAGTAATGTAAAGTTTACGTAATATATACATATGATGATCTTCTTCTGATAGTAAAGTTACTTCTAATTTTAAACAATCCGATTGGAATGTTAATGATTCATGTATATCATTTGGCCAATATTGACAACATTTCGATATGTCATCTTCATATAATCTATAGGAAAGAAATCAATTGGGAAAAATACAATCAAATTAGGTTTTAATGTAGATTATTTCCGACTAGACAATTGATTATCATAGTTTAGTATGAAATTGATGACAGAGTAATTAGATTTTTTCGGGTAGAGTTTTGGAGCGAGGTTGTGTGTTTTTACACATTTGAAATCATCAATCAATCAGTCATTGTTAGACCACCATTATTAGAAACCTGGGAGCACTCGACGGCCGTTTCGTCCTGGTATGGGACTCATCAGTGACAGCGCGCATCCACAACGCCTGCACCTCACAGGATCCGAACCCAGGATCCTCGGTATTGTGCGTGAACGCCTAACCATTGGACCACTGGGCCGACATCCATCGGTGTTAATGTCTAACTCTGATCAATCTAGGGAATTGCGCGACGTCAAACATTTGTCCTTGGTAGTTACTGCCTACAACCGACAGGGTTGAACTCCATTGGTCACATCTTCTCAACTAGAACTCCGAGAATCTCCTCACGAAGCTAGTCACTAGTGAGCACTGTTACGATATTTTCATGCAGTTTTGGAGCGAGGTTTGTGTTTTTACACATTTGAAATCATCAATCAATCATTGTTAGACCACCATTAGAAACCTGATATGGGACTCATCGGTGTCAGTGCGCATCCACGACTCCTGCATCTCCTCGAAGGATTCGAACCCGGGACCTTCGGTATTGTGCGCGAACGCCTAACCATCGGACCACTGGGCCGGCATCTAATGAAAGTGTATATTAGTTAGGAAGTCATAAATTAGAACGATACAATAATTCAGTGTTAGTTGAATTTTGACAGTTCCATGGTTAACAATAATTGGTGTAGAAAAATAGCCGTGAGTTCACTGTTACGGAATATTCGACTTCAATTTATTTTTTCAAAACAACATCTGAACTACTTATATTATTCATTAAGTAGTAAATAGCTATGTTAGATTTTAAAGTTGACTTTTAATTAGAAAAACAAAAAGAAATAATAAAATGTTTTGTCGGTAGATTATTGTTTTTATATAAACATAAACAAATAACTATTTTATCGTTAATGAAGAAGATTTTCGGAGAGTGTATTCTTTTTCACAGTTGAACTTATGAACGACTTTTATCTAGACTATCATTAGAAACTTAGAAGCACTGGACGGTTGTCTTAGTCTAGTATGTCAGTCAGTCAGTTACAACGTAGAACTTCGTACGTACGCACATCAGTGTTCAGGTTGTCATACCACATTAGCACAGAAATGCAATCACCAATTCAACTACCGTAGAAGTAAAGGTAGTAGAAGTATGAGTGCAGTGATGGAGAACACAGGTGGGGCAACCGAATTGTATGTGGCGAAAATTACAGAGTTACTCAGTAAAATAGGAAAACCATATCGTAACCGTTAATTTGCAAGTCTTCAATCCATCATCAATCCATTGTCTGACATTTCACTTATTCATGCGTTTCATACAAATTCCATTGTGTTCCCACTCTTCCTTTCTTGATCTTCCCCCATCTTCTGCTGCCAGACATTACGTTTACACTAACGTCATATACTACTTATAAGTAGCGCGCACCACATGAGCGGTAATCGAAAAGATCAATGACCGCGTATTTCTTTCAATATCTATACCCCAGAGGAAGGAATCACTAGCCTTCTCCACTTCGCTTTATCCATTCATCCGCACATTCGCCTGCTAGTGTGCCTACCCTATCTGCTTATGGTCCACTGTCCCATTTTGTGGTGTGTGCTAAAAAATATAAACGAATTCGACACTTCGTATTTGCCTTCTGATTTATAATACCACTCAGGCGTTATTTAATGCTGATTGTGCCTAGACAAGTGAATTACAAAGCTTCAGAACACGTTGATCATTGGCAACCACAATCTCATCAAACAAAAAAAAACTACAAACCATATGTAGTAAGTATTAGTGTCGTGTGTGCTACTTATACGAACGATATAAGTAGTATAAGAAGGGACGTGAATGAAGAAGTTGCACGGTCTGAAGAGGAAAACGGAAAGCGGAAAGCAAATGGAGAAAAAGCAAGAAGTAAATGGTGTACCAACAGGAAGGAAAGGAAGCAACAACAGGAATGGAAGAAGGCTGGAGCGTTGGAAGTCAGGACTCAAAGATGGTGTGCAAATAGAATGTTCAATGTAATGTTTTCGATTTTAATTGATTAAGAGTGTAAATTTGTATAATACAGTCTTCCGCGCCTGCCTCAGTCTTCTCAATCGGTGTCGCTGCCTCCACATAGGATGAAGATCCCATGGCCTCAAGAGTTTGAAGACTGAGACGTAAGGAGCTTCATGAAGGAGTTCGAGGCCGTGGCGGAGCTGGTAGAAGTCAAGGAGCAGAGGGTGAAGGCGGTGGTGTTGGGGAGTTGACGAGATTGCTGCGCCGGGGTCTGCCGAATTTGGATGAGGAGTCGCAAGCACAGCTGCTAGCGTCGCAATCCATTGAAATTGTGCCTGCAGAGGTTACCCAACAGTTGAGACTGGTGAACGCGGCACAACCAATGGACGTTACCGAGCTGGCTAAAGTAACAAGACAACTGATGAACTCAACAGTTGCCTCGGTGGCATGTGAAAGACAGGCTGATGATGTCGCGAAGAAGATGGAAGAATTACTACACGAGCTGGCAGCGTTACGAATAAAGGGTGAAAGAAATAATAAATGCTATATTTGCGGAGGAACCGGATAGTGGAAGAGGAATTGCCAAACAAAACGAAAACATTACATTGAACACTCTATTTGCACACCATCTTTGAGTCGTGACTTCCAACGCTCCATTCTTCTTCCATTCCTGTTGTTGCTTCCTTTCCTTCCTGTTGGTGCTCCATTTGCTCTCCGCTTTCGGTTTTCCTCTTCTGACTGTGAGACTTCTTTCATGTCCCTTCTTATACTACTTATATCGTTCGTATAAGTAGCACACACCACAGTAGTAGTTAATATATTGAGATGACGTAATTCACTTACTTTGTAAGCATAACAATAACAGTGATATTTTGATCAAGTATCATTCGCCAAAAATCACCAGCTGTTGATTCTAACGGTGCTTGAGATGCAATATAGGCAATTTTATTTCTATTTAATATTGGATGTGTTTTTACACTTGTACATGGTATAATTTCATAAATAAAACTTGCATTCACATAATCATGATCCTAGCAAAAAAAAGTGAATAAGTGAAAAAAAAACAATTTCTTCTTAAACTGTCGATGACTGATTAGTTGTTGTCTACAAGTTTGAAATGAATAACCATTCACACTGAAACAAAATTTCATACTTCATATGTTCAGTCAGTCAGTCAGTTGCAACGTAGAACTTCGTACGTTTGTACGAATGTATGTTCATGTTGCCATACCACATTAGCACAGAGACGCAAATGTCAAATCAAATCCCATAGTCATAAAGATAGTAGAGTTAGTATTAATGGTAATGAAGAAGACTAGGGTTTCAAGATATTATTCAAGAAGTATAATCAGGTGAAATAAGTTTAGAAAGACAAAGGTAGAGGTGCAGACGAGTCCAGAAGATTAGGATTTGAGAGAGCACAACGAAAAGATGCACTTGCGCCATTGCAAACGATTCTGAGCCATGTCGTTCAAGGTCTCTAACGATTGGTGACTTTTGTCTCGCGGACCCCAACCAGGTAGTCTACATCTACCAACATGACTCAGTCCACTAGTCAGTGACTTCATGGATTTCTGCCATGTTTTGGTGTGGCCGCCCCTAGATTTCTTCCAGTCTACTCCTACACCACAAAACAGCTCGTCGAGGCAGTCGGTGGTTAGGCATACGCAACACATGTCCCAACCACCTCAACTGATGAAGTTTCACTACTTCATCTATTGATCTGCCATCGTTACCTAGTACTCGTTTCCTAACGACAGCATTGCTTACTCGGCTGTCCCACGATATACGAGCAACGCCTCTTAAACATCTATGATCGAATACTAGTAACCTACGAAGATCTTCTACTCTTAACGGCCATGTTTCATAGCCATATAGGAGAACGGAGCGAACTGCTGTATAGATTTCATTAACGACTAATGTCTGCAAACTGATATCATAATTAAAATTACCTGTTTGGGGACGACGTTAGATAACCCAGAACTCACTTGATAAATGCTCTAATTTTGATCAGTTGACCTTGAGATTACATTTCCCACCACGGAAAATCCGTGGTTGTTATTGGTTGCTGTGTATTTTTTTTAGCACGCTATTTTTATGGCTCTCCTAAGGACGTTTCTATCATGTATAAATAAACTCGATTTGTGTGCTTGAAAAACCTCGTGTTTTTCTGAGTGCATGTAGAATATACTTTCTGCACCATGTCAAGACTTCTTCGTCTACTGAGTGTGAGCTTGGGACGCTCGGATTAGATTAGCATGTTGTGTCGCCGGATCCTCGATCCTCACTCTCGTTTTCCGAATAAGGTGAAATCGTCATAGCATTATTCAAGCATATCATTTCAAGAAACTAAATGATATTAACATACTAGTGAAGTTTGAATTATATTCAAAAACTGTTATAATCGTTTCGAAGTATGCTTAAAACTATTACGGATTCATCTTAGTCGAATAACGAGAACAAAACAATGAATCAGAGTCCAGGTAGGCTACTGTGATCCAGTTGTCCCAATTGTATCAGCAAGATGTCTTGATATAGCGTAGAAAATGTATTCTTCAAATACCGAGCCAGCACACAATCAATCCAACCACACAAATCACTTTTATTTATACTCTATAGAGATGTCCTTGGGACAGTCACAAAAATAGCACACAAAAATAACACAGTAACCAATCACAGCGAAGGGTTTTCCTTGTGGGAAATGTGATCTCAAGGTCAACTAACTTATTGGCCGGTGAAATAAATCCAAACTAAAGATATTTACCTGTTTGTTTTTCTCAGTTGGATTTAACTTCACTCGTGTTTGATCATCTGAAACAAAATAGGGTTCAAAGTAATTAATTGTAACAATAAAATTCACAGCTAGCAGGTTTTTATCGATAAAAATAATTCTGTAAACATTATTAATATGAAGTAAAATGTCGATCAATAAAAATGATCATCATCCTAAGAAATCAAACGTAACAATAAAATCGCGATTTAAAAAACCTGTTAGCACTGGTCGACCGTTCCGTCATGGTATGGGACTACTACTACTACTCATCAGTGGCAGTGCGCATCCACAACTCCTGCTACTCACAGATTTCAAAGTCAGGACCTGCATGCAGTTTTGCATACGAATGTCTAATCACTGGATCATTGAGTCGACATCCAACGGTGTTAATGTTTAACTCTGATCAATCTAAGAGTTTTATGCAACCTCACCCCATCGTATTCGGTGATGACTATCTACACACTGTACAGGAATAAGCTCCACCAGTGGTCTAACAATGATTCATTCATGATTTCGCTGTATAATAACTAACGATCCTCATCATACTATGATAAAGAAAAATTTTTTGTTGACTGTAAATTTGAAATCATCAATCAATCGGAGTTAGACATTAACACCGTTGGATATCGGTCCACTGCTCCAGAGATTAAGCGTTCGCGCACAATACCGAGGGTTCTGGGTTCGAATCCTGCGAGGTGCAGGAGTCGTGGATGCGCACTACCACTGATGAGTCCCATACCAGGACGAAACGGCTGTCTTTCAGTGCCCTCAGGTTTCTAATAATGGTGGTCTAACAATGATTGATTGGTGATTTCGAATGTGTAAAAACGCAAGCCTCCAAAACTGTGCCCCAAAAAAGGCTGTAAATATGTTAATTATCTTTAAATATCTGTACTTGTGATGATTTTGATTAGTTGAAATTTATTTGGCAAAAGCTATTTCGATTAGAGGTTAAAATTTGCATGTTCATCAAATTGAAAATTTCATTTTAACTAGAAAAAAAAATTCCTCCAACGATTTTCAGTGTTTTTTGTAATTGCGGAATTGTGATTTCAATGAAAAACAGTCAGTCACATCAAGTCTAGTATTTGAACATTAATCAGATGCAATTTGTCAAGAAGATATTGAAATAGGAAAGTAGACAGTAAATTTGGGAAGAAATTATTATTCTCTGTTTAACTATTTCGATAAATTATTTTTAATCTTTCATTTATGCTTTTAAAACAAATAGATGTCACATGTATGTCAACATCTGAGAAAAATCCCTGTGGTAAGCTAATCTGAACGATATAATTAGTTAACGATAAACGTTTGATCAATGAGACATTAAACATTGAAATCGTGAATCACACAGACAGATACAACGCAGAACTTCGTACATAAGTACATCATTTCAGGTTGCCATACCACCAGCACAGAGACGCAACTGTCAGTTCGAATCCAAGAGTGATAGAGATAGTAGAAGAATTAGAGAGTAGTGGAGAAGATTAGGGAGCGAAGATATGATTCGAGGAGTATAATTCAGTCAGAGAAATTTAGAAAAAGTAAGATAGAGGCAATATGGAATTCAGAAGGTTAGAATTAGAGAGAACACAAAGAGTGGATGCACCTGCGCCACTGCAAACGACTCTGAGCCATGTCGTTCAAGGTCTCTAACCATCGATTACTATCGTCTCGCGGACCCCAACCAGGTCAATAATTGTTAGACTACCACCCTTAGAAACCTGGGAGAACTGAAAGACGACCGTTTCGTCCAGGTATGGGACTACTCATCAACATTACATATGCACGACTCCCACAATTCGCAGGATTCGAACCTGGGAACTTCGGTACCGCGTAGGAACGACTAACCTATAAGACCACTGAGCTGCTTGGCATCCAACGGTGTTAATGTTTAACTCTGATCAATTTGGGAGTTTTACACGAACTCACCAGTTTGTCTTCAGTAGTTTTACTGCCTACAACCGACAGGGTTTAATTCTACTGGTCACGACTCCGCACCAAAACTAGTCACTAGTGAGCATGTTGTGCGACATTTTCGACTAGAGTTATGGAGATTAGTGTTTTTAGACATTTGAAATCACCAATCAGTCATTGTTAGAACACCATTATTAGGAACCTGGAAGCACTGGACAGCCGTTTCGTCCTGGTATGGGACTACTCATCAGTGGCAGTGCGCATCCACGACTCCTGCATCTCACAGGATTCGAACCCAGAACCTTCGGTATTATGCGCAAACGTCTAACCTCTGGACCACTGAGCTGGCCGGTATCTAACGCTGTTAAAGTCTAACTTAAATCAATTCACGGAGTTGCGTAACCTCATACACAGTCTTCGGTAGTTACTGTCTACTATATCCGAACAGGTTGAACTTCACTGGTCACGATTTCCCACTAGAACTTGGAGAAGGGTTCCTCATGAAGCTAGTCACTAGTGAGTAAAATGTGTAACTTGCACAATCTTCACAACTCCGTAATGCAATCTCATTTTTAATAATAATGATGAGAGTATTCACCAATATTGTAATCAAACTTATCACAGTCACATACGGAGCGTGGTAACAGTATGGTGCAAATTCTAAGGTTGTTCTTGTTGATAAACCTATAATTAACCTTGTAGCCAATATATATTATAGGTTCACAGTAAGACAAAATCGATATCTTAATTTTTTAAATGTGTATTTTGATAGTGACAAAATAAACGTTATTTATATTTTAAAATCTAAACACTATAAGTCGTAATATCAGTAGTTTTTTACTTAATGACCAAAACATGGCACAAATCCATGAAGTCATTGACAAGTGGACTGAGTCATGTTGATAGGTGTAGACTACGTGGTTAGGGTCCGGAAGATGATAGTGATCGATGGTTAGAGATCTTGAATGATATAGCTCAAAATCGTTTGCAATGACGCCGGTGCATTCATTCATTGTGTTCTCCCAAATCCTAATCTTCTGAATTCGTCAACACCTCTACCTTTATCTTTCTAAACTTATCTCACTAAATTATACTTCTTGAATAGTATCTTCGAACCCTGATCTTCTCCATTACCGATACTACGTCTATTATCTCTGCCTATATGATAGTTGAAATGACAGTTACAGTTCCGTGAGGTAATGTAGTATGACGACCTGAACTGATGTATGTACATACTAAGTTCTACATTATAAGACCATAAATTTGTTTGTTTCAATAATATAGGGTAAATGATATTGTCATAATTTTAAAGAAAAATTTCAATTAACCAAGAAGAACAATTGTAGAACGAAATCTGACTGAGTTGTATCTATTAGTGGTTATCCAATGTGATCTATTGATTTCAGTCTGTCATTCAACGAAAAAACACTTCACATCATGTCATCATATTTTTAGGAAAGTATTCATTAAAAAAGTCTAATATAATATACATATCTGTAGAATATTTTCAATTAGAGTAATGGAGATTGATCTAGATCAATCAGAGTTAGACATGAATACCGTTGGATGCTGGCCAACTCAGTGGTCCAGAGGTTAGGCGTTCACGCACAATACTAAAGGTTTCGGGTTTGAATCCTGTGAGGTGCAGGAGTCGTGGATGTGCACTGCCACCGATGAGTCTCATACGAGGACGAAACGGTCGCACTTTCAGTGCCTCCAAAAATAATGTTCCAAAATACTCTTTATCATTGGATAAATGAATAGATAGATGAACACAATAACCATTTCCCCCACCCCCCTGCTCTGGACAAAATGATATTCCGTTTATTCACCACAAAACTCTGTAGTTCGCTTATTTTACAAATTTTCCCTTTAGAATAATTGCTCCTATATTCATAGTTATACAGAGTTAAATTAAAAAAGAAATAGAAATTTATCCGAATAGGGATCTCGGGCAGTGGATTGGTTGGAGGGACCTTATAGATTCACAAGTACCCAAATGGGAGCCACTCACTATTCGTGTGCGTGCTTTTCGGTTGTCCGACCTGTTTTGCAGACCAAACTGGACAACATGAGCGTTCCTGTATTTGGGGCAGGGATGATCAATGTTGGCTGGCTACAGTGTAAAATCCTTGTGTTGCCTATATAGAGCAGTGATGTACATGTTCAGCCGGCTTGTTCGGTTCGGTTAACCAAGCAAGATATAAGTAAAATAAAACAATTATTTGTTATTTTATTTTATTTTTAAATCAAAAAACACTACACTTACATGGTAGAATATCACTAAAACGATTTAATCGTCTATTGGCATTAGTTTGTCCTATTTCTTGACTAAGCATATCTGATTGTATTAAACTTTGACTATTACTTACAATCAACTATTAAAAAAGGAATAGAAAATGGAAATTAATTCTTATAGACAATTATATATATATATATATATATATATATATATATATATATATATATTAGAATAGTTGTGTGGTGTGAGCTACTTATAAATAGTATATGACGTGAGTATAAACGTAATGTCTGACAGCAGAAGATGGGGGAAGATCAAGAAAGGAAGAGTTAGAAAACAATGAAATTTGCATGAAACGCATAAATAATGACAATGGATTGATGTTTCGCAACAGGAATAGTCCAGTTCGATATGATGAACTGATATTTTGCAAATTAACGATTTACGATATGGTTTTCCGATTTTACTGATTAACTCCGGTTGTACCACTTGCGTTCTCGTTCACTACAGTTGTACAATTCAGGATACATGCCAAACTATTTTAACACCTTGACAAGTAGTATTGATTATTTTATTGAAGTAGGTTTTTAAGAAGCATACGAATGGACAAGCTAACATATGATATCAGTCTCTGTTAAATTCGTCACTAGGTATGCTTCAAACTATTACGGGTACACCTTAGTTGATAAACGTGAACGAGACAATGAACCAACGTCCAGGTAGGCTAACTTGATCCGAAACGGCTAAAGAGAAGTCTTAATATAGCGTAGAAAGTATATTCTACAAACACCCAGCAAGCACAATGCAATCAAGCATACAAATCTCGTTGAATTATACACCACAGAAACGTCCTTGGGACAGTTACACAGAATAGCACACCAAAATACACAGCAGCCAATCACAGCCATGGATTTTCCGGGTGGGTAATGTAATCTCAAGGTCAAATGATCAGTCCATACTCGCAAACGTGAAATCCAGAATAAGTCTGTTATTAAGCGAGTTCTATGGATCTAACGTCCCCAACAGTCTCTGAAATCATTGGCTGTTAATTCAAGTTATGTAACAGAAGGGGTATATACGTCATATTTTTCGTCATAGAGTTATTCAGATCCGTTGTTTTTCTGTGAAATCATAAAACACACACTAACTCTATGACGATTAAAAATCATAAAACGTTATTCACTAGTGACTAGTTTTGTGAGGAAATTCTTCAGAGTTCTAGTGAGCAGACCTCGTGACCAGTGAAGTTCAACCTTGTCAGGTGTTGTAGGCACTTATTCACCGAAAACAATGGGACAGGTTGCACAAAAAGTTAGATCGATCAGAGTTAGACAATGACACTGTTGGATGCTGACCCAGTGGTATAGATGTTAAGAGTTCACACACGAGACCGAAGGTCCTGGGTTCGATTCCTTTTGGTGGGAATGGTGGGTGCGCACTGGTGATAGCTTCCATACTCGAACAAAATGGCCCTTCAGTGCTTTGAGGTTTCTAATATTGGTCTAAAGATGATCAATTCACGATTTCAATATACATTATGGGTGAGATTGATGAAATAATCAAGTTTGGCAAACCTTCAATAACTAGATACAAAGCCAATCCTCACTGCTTTCTTTGAACACATGAACCTTTGTGAGTTCATTTTGCAAAGAATTTTTTCCAGGAAATATGCCTCTTGATACTACTGTCAGTAATCCTTATGAATAACAATCAATACATCTTTTCTCCCTATTTAGAACGTAGATTTTAACAGTAGACTAACGATTGAATAATTAAATAATGCACACTAAGTAGTAGTTTTTTTTTTAAAAAATTCTACATATTACTTAATTAATCTACAAAGTAGTTGCAAAAAAAAAATATACTTGAGCTATTATGATGAGTTCACCTTATTCGGTAAACAGAATGAAGATCAACAATGCAGTGACACGATTGGCTATTCTAATCTAATTGTCCCAGTCACCGATAAATAAACCAAGAAGTCTTGAGAAGACTTAGAGAGAATGTATTCACAGGCAATCAGAAAGTACAAGGTCAACAAGCACACAGCTCAAGCATATTTATACAATGATAGAAACGTCCTTGGTGCAAGTCACAAAATAGCGCACTAAAATAATCCATCAAACAATGACAGTCAAGAATTTTCCCACATGGGTAATACAACCTGAATGTCAAAATGAGCATCACTGACGCGCAAACACATAGAAATTCAAAATTTCTTTAAAAAGAATAAATAATGATGCAAAAAACCTTATGATTACTTACTTGATATTGTACATTTAATGCTGCAAATGAATCTTCTGAATATTTTTCGTAATGTGTTATAAATTGATCAATAGTCACTGGTCGTGGCCTACAAAGCAAACAATAGTAAGTTGAACGATAAAAATAGTTTTACGAAATTACCGAAAGAGGATTCAATGTTACTATTACTACTACTCACACTAGTACAATATTTACTACAACTCCGACTACTACTACTGTGGTGTGAGCTACTTATAAGTAGTATATGACGCGGGTGTCAACGTAATGTCTGGCAGCAGAAGATGGGAGAAGATCAACAAGAAAGGAAGAGTGGGAACTCAATGGAATTTGTATAAAACGCATGAACAGTGAAATGTCAGACAATGGATTGATGATTGATTGATATTTTGCAAAGTAACGCTTACGATATGGTTTTCCTATTTTAATGAGTAACTCTGTCATTTTCGTTAAATACAATTCGGTTGCCCTCACCTGTGTTCTCCTTCACTACACTACACTACACTACACCTACTGTTGGGCACGAAAACTCAGGTGAGGACATTAACATCTATATATTTGACCGAATATTACAGAGTTGTTAAGCAAAAATACAAAAACCTTTCCGTGAAATCATCATTTGCAAACTAATCCTTATTTGTTTCAGATTTCAGTGTTCTTTCATTTAGACTGTTCAGACTTCAGTTCACTTTACGTTCGTTACCTACAAATTGCCTTATGTTCACTCATTTTTTTACTTCTCGATCTTTTGCTATCAGACGTTTGATTTCCGTTCGATTTCATATACTACTTATGTGAACATAAGTAGAGTACGCCACACTACTACTACTAATACCACTACTACTAATACTAATACTAATACTACTCCTACTCCTACTACTACTACTACTACTACTACTACTACTACTACTACTACTACTCCTACTACTACTAATGAACAAGGGGCTATTAATCATTTGCAAATGATATAATTTTAACGAATAGACTTTATGTTGATCGGTCGATTGTAGGCAATCATATGGTATAATCAAAGAGAAAAATTTATGAAATATCAAGTTGGAATTATTTTGTGAAATAACTTTCAGCCACTTCTTAGTCAATCATAGAAAGTGTTAGATCTGGAATGAATACTGACAAGTTAAAATTGGCAACTATTTCTATAGGAACGTTGGATAATTTTCGATAACCAAAAGTATTGGTAATATAAATTATTGATAGCAAAGTTGATCTAAACGAACTCTTTAGAAAATAGATAAATCTCTAAAGTAGTTTAAACGAAAGCATGAACACACAGGAATCATCAATCAACCAATCATTGTTAGACCACCGTTAGAAATTTGAAAGCACTTTTTAGGCGGCTGTTTCGTCCTGGTATTCGTAAACAAAACCGAAGGTCCTAAGTTCGAATCCTATGAGATGCAGGAGTCGTGGATGTGCACTGCCACTGATGAGTTGTTTTTTTTCAAAGTAGGCAATCAACGGAAAAAAGGAAATGAATTAAACTAGTGAAAAGTAGACATTATGGCAATATCAATCACCAATAAATAAAATTTATATTTGATAGAATAATAAATAATTAGGATGCGCACTGCTGATGAGTCTCATACCAGGACGAAACAGCCGTCCAGTGCTTCCAAGTTCCTAATAATGGTGGTCTAACAATGATTGATTGATGATTTCAAATGTGTAAAAACACAAACCTCCCAAACTCTGCCCCAAAATAATTACGAAGTAATATTCATCATTGCATTGGAATACACCTTAAAATTTAATCACTGAATAACATTCGACTAATATGATTTTTTTAACGAATTTGAAATCATCAATCAATCATTCACTGTTAGACCACCATTATTGGAAACCTGGAAGCACTGGACGGCCGTTTCGTCCTGGTATGGGACTTATCAGTGGCAGTGCGCATCCACGACTTCTGCACCCCGCAGGATTCGAACCCGGGACCTTCGGTATTGTGAGCGAAACCTCCAAAACTCTACCCGATAATATGATTTTATATAAATGTAAATGAAAGACTTCAGTAGTAATTTAAATACTTATCAAAGTAATTGAATGATTTGTTTTTTAATGCTTAAAAAAAAAAAAAAAAAAGTGATCATTGGAAAACTGTTGAAATAGTCATTTGAAAAAGTTACAAAGAATCAATATTCAGATAATTTTTGATAGAATACAGTGAGAAGACGTTAATTAAATTGAAAAATGGTGTGATGTATTTGTGTGCTATGCATATTTCTAACAATCTGGTCACATACACATTGGTGTACACTTGTCAAGGCATTTTATATGAAGATGAATAAAAGGTCAGTTATAAACAAAAGTTCAAATAGACATAAGGTGATGATATTTGTAAATAAAGGAAAGAGAAAATTAACATAATCTAGAAAATTGTCACATTACTCTAGGCTTAAAGATTACCAGGGTAAATTCAAGGTTATAACAAATTGTTACCGTACACATAAGGGCGATGGTTTTAATTTATGAATAGCTAAGGCTTCCATAAGCCTCACAAAATTCGTGTTCTTCAACATTTCTATACAATGTTTTGAAGGCTGTCTTAATGTTAATTTTATGCCCTAAAAAAATTTTATGTGATTTGCGATCGATGAACATGGTTTTCTATTTCTCACGCTAATCGGCTCATCTGACGTTAACTGATTTTGAAGCCATTTAGGTACATGTTCCAAAACCATTGATTGCAAAGTTCGATTACTCCTCCTTATGTGTATGTATGTCCATACAAACATGCACACAAATGCAGCGGGATGTGATGGCATCATTCGAGTAACGTTTAGGCCTATGTAGAAATCATGAGGCCTAGTCTTTTCAATGACAATGGTAACACTAACTAATGCTTATTCA